AGTATTGTTACTGAGTGGTATTCTTCTGCTAACAGTATTGTTACTGACTTTCAAGAACCGTTTTAATAGATGCTAATATTGATGGTTTTATTAAATTCTCTCCTGCCGTATGATTTTTTCCAGATTTAGCGATGAATAAAAAAATTTGATAACTAGCCTCAAGAATACGATTATGAGTTGAAGTGTGAGCAGTAAATAGAGACTTTACTGTTGTCCTCTTTTCAAAATTTTTCTTTAAAGTATAAAAGTCCACGTGGAGTCTGCTGCAGAGAGGTTAACTTGACGACGCCAAAAACCCATTTGATATTCTGGTCTAGTCAAAAGAATTTATAATATTTATTGGCTGCAATTATTTAAGAATTTGATTTTTTCTTTCAATTTTGGCACCGAAATCTAGCATTGCATTTAAATGGCCCGGAGCAAAAGGGTTAAACTCGTGTCGAGTCCATTTTTGAATTGCCCCCCTTAACAATCAAATTGCCCCCCAGTGGGGCGTGGGCCCCACGTTGGGAAACACTGATCTATACAGTTCAAAATATATATTGCCTTTCTTTTTTATTATTTAGTTTGTTTGTTTTTTCTTTAAAATGGTGTCCTTTTTTAAATACTTTAACTAAATAGTGTTTTTACTTTACAAAATACATTTATTTAATATTATAAGCAGCATATAATACAAAACAAAATATGAAATAAAAAAGTAGGCAAAAGTAATAAGTTGAATTTTCTTTTCTGAATCATTCATTAATAATTAAAAAGAATAATTATAATAATGATATAAAGAATTGATAAAAAAAATTTAATGAAAGCTTTTCCTATTTAAACTAAAACAAAGTCTGTCTGCCTGTGTTTCCATCGATATTCAAAGTTTATCTTCTTTATCTGTTCTTGTCCTTTCACTCACTTTTTAAATGTGCTCTTTTAAACACTATAAATATGAAGCTATTCTAAATGCAGCAAGAAAAAATGGAAAGAAAAAATTTTGTGTCCTTAGCATTGTTTAAAAACAATAGCCAAGAAATAGACGTCAGGTTATGAGCGTCGCAGTGGGACTTAAATATCTCACTACTTTTTGTAGAGAGGAAAGACTTCATAATCTAATTTCTTTCTCATAATACTAACAAATTAAAAATTAATGTGCTAAGTTTGAAAGCAGATCATTTGTGAAATGTGTGGTGAAAGACCATCTATTAAAAGATTGAAGAGAGTCTCATATAGTAGTGAATTGATGGTTCATAATCGTAGTGGTAGTTACGCCACAAATGAAACGACTACTCTTCAATTTTTAAACTTGATGTTCTATTTCCATGAAGCTTTTTCTAAGAATAATAGTTGAAAATATGTTTAAACTAACTCAGTTTTATTTAATTTTTCAAGACAGTCCATTATAATAAGTTTTATTAATGAACTGTTCATAAATATTTAAGCTCTTATACATTGTAAATTAATTTTTCAAAAAAGAAAAAGTAAATATGCTGATAAAAATATTGGGCATCGTTCTTCGGTAAATTATAAGAAAAGTTATAGGGGTTACTAAATAAAATAAAAAACAAGGAAAATTAAGTAAAAAAGATTGTTGATCAAAATTTATCTTTGATAATTTTAGATTCTACACATTCTTTCTTAGGCGGCACTGTTTAAGTTCTGGTTAAAAAAGCAAAAAAAAATTTACCATTTCAACATAGAAGAAAATCATGTTGCAATGGTTATGAATTTGAATGAACAAATGCCACTTTGTAATTACAAAGTGGCACTTTGTAATTACAAAGTGGCATTTGTTTTTTCAAATTCATAACCAGGTTCTTCAAAAAAACTTTCTTATTGATATTCAGTGCCAGATACTTGTTTTTTGGGGCAAAAAGTGTAAAGTTTTATAAATTTTTTCTAGATTCATATTTTAGAAATATCATGACTGAAAGGATGTATTTTTAGTCCAATTATTTGAGCCTTGCTAAAGAACTTTTCTGCATTATTTTAATTCATTTCAATATAAAAATATTTCTTTTTGTAATTATCTGGGTTGGCATAATTTAAATTGTGATTTAATTAAATTTGGATGATTTTATTTTAAAAAAATCATTCATTCAAGTTCTTTTACTACTTTAATTGTTCTTTTATTTAGGGGATAAGATTATTATATTTCATAATATAAGTTATGAGTATATTCTTAAAGTTTTTTTTTTTAATATTATTTTATTGATAATGAAAGAGGGGGTGTATAAATTATTATTTGATGTTCAAAATAGGCTATTAAATTTAATTATTTATGATGGTGTAGCAGTTATGATGGTAATGATGGTGTAGCAGTCAGGGTTGGAGTTTTTGCCAGGACAGTGGCAAAAACCTGGTAAAAACCGGCAAAAATTGTAAGAACCGGCAAAAACCAAATTATCTAAATTGCTGATTAAATATTATTACAAAATACTTGAAACAAATTTAAGTCAATCCTAAGGAATAATAATTTTGATACAATACATGAAAAAATTATTTTTAACATATTAATAATTAATATAAAGGCAATAATTTTTAAAAGATTGAAAGTTTTTGACCTCTTTTCATTTTAGAATCCTTAAATAAATGTTTTTTTTACAAATGAATAAATATTATTATTTGTATAATATTATTATTATTTATTATAAAAAAGTATTATTTGTACAATAATTAACTACACATCTTGATAGATATTTTATGCTTTAAATTATAGTTATATTAATTTAAAATAAGTTCATTTCACTGGAAAAAGAAAATAATTGCAAATTTTCCAATCAATAATGCTTTAAACTACTAAAATGGTGTATTATTACATTATGATTTCATTATGGAATAAAAATTTTGTTAATTTTTTTGTAATTATTCATATTTATAGTATATATTTCAATTTTAGGAATAATTTTGTCACAAAAATGTGTTTTTGTCCTCTCATCTTGGAAAATATAGGTTTTTGCCACTTTTTGCCACTTTGCTTGGCAAAAACCTGTTTTTGCCAGGACGGTTTTTACCGGTATTTACCATGGTTTTTTCCACCTGCGGCAAAATCTTGCCAACCCTGGTAGCAGTTATCATTGTTGTCAGTACATTTTCATCGGCTTGAAAATCGCATAATATGTTGCATTTATCCCGCATAAATTTCCATATTTTTTTAGTTGTCATCAGCTTAAAATTAACAAAAATCATAAAGGTATTGTTTTCCTGTAAAATACTTTTGTTTGCCACATTCAAAGGCTGTGATATTTATTTTACTCTGCTATTATTATGATTTTGATTGTTTTCTAAATTAAGACTTAAACTGAAAGAGTTGTTTCTTTACTCTTAACATAATTGTATGATATTACCTTATTACACTACATTTTATGATAAACTTATTTGAATCTGTGTCTAAACTTATTAACATTTTATGAATTATTATTTTTTGGTGTAAATTACATTAATATGCTATTATAAATTTCCGTTAACGATATATGTTAAATGATTTAAAACTTAACAATCAGCTTCATGAATAATGTGATGCATGCAAAAATTCTATTTGATGTATCAGCCTATCTGGTAAGCGAAAATATTAAACTACGTTTGTGAACTCACCAAATGTGTCATATTATGTCGAAAGTCTTGTGGTCGGTCGCTAAGCAGTACCGTGAGTATAGGAATCTGGAAAAAAAATTTATTCCCCTTCTGATCTACATGTAAATTGAGGAAGTAGCCTCACAAAAAAAAAATTTTATGACCTGTCTTCTGATCCACAATGTTTCCCAGACCATTGTACAGCTCTAGTGTGATTTAAATGAAAGCACCTAAAATGACATAGGTTTAAATTATGTAAAGATTAGCATACCTTATGTATCAAAATCCTTTTGATTATGATTAAATAGATTTTTAAAAAAATTTTATTGAATGAACGAATGTTATAGTTTTAAGCAAAAAAGGTTTTAGTTTCCTTAAATTCAATAGAAATGGTGAAATACAACAAATTAAATTGATCTAGTAATATAATTTTTTGATCACCCTTCTTACCTGTTTTTTCATCCCTATTGAAACTCTTTTTACCAGATTGTGGCTATCCCCCTTATTTTTGATAGTCAAACAAATACCTCCATACAGAACATGTTTTTTCAGCGAAAGCATATTTCTCTCTGATTTCATTACTCAATAACGCTAATTAATTAGCATTAGGTCAACATTTTAACCACTAGGATTGACACTTATTACATGAAAATTGGATCATTAAAACTAAAGCTATTCAAGGTGATATGCTTTTTTTTATTGTACTTTTAGTATACTTTTAAATTTTCTATGTTCTTATAACCATCACTTTATTAGGTGTTAAAATTGGTTTTATTTAATTGTCTTAGAATTATTCAAATGTTTTGCTAATATTTTTATAAATTGTGAACTTATACTGAGATTAATTTTTTTCTTTAGAATTTGAAGACCGGTTTAAATTTCATCCAGCACAAAGTTTGCCAAAACCTGACAGATTTTCTAATTCAACGAAAAATTATCCCAGTAAAGGTTTGCATAAAAATACTTTATTTTAGATTTTTTGCTAACTAGGTGAACTCTTGTAAGATGAACTTCTAAAAAGTGATTGCACTCTTTATCAGAAAGAAGTAATTTTAATTAGAGTTTGATTATCATTAAGTTTTTTCAGCATATAATGATTATCGACATGATTCTACAAATAAAGACTTATTATGTTCATTAAAATTGGGGAAAAACTAGAATACCCAAAATTGAACAATATTAATAGGGTTACAATATACTGTTACCAATAAATAAACTTTAAAATTGTTTCATTTTGGGTATGCTCTTGTTTTTTCACAATTATAAAGAGTGTAATAAGTTTTCATGAATTGGATCAGAGGGAATTTTTATGACATGAAACCATAATTAACAAATACAAACACACTGTACAATCAAGTAATTTATTACATTCTAAAAAAAATAAAAATTGTTAACAATAAAATTTTACTTAGAAAATACCCAGAATGAAGGAATTTTAATGAGGATTTGATTATTTCACACAGCTTTTTCAGCAGGGTTATGATTAACTATAAGTCTATAAAAGATGGGATAAAGATTCCATCTTTTATAGACTATCAGATGATAATTTTTTTTTTTTTTTACTTATCCAAATACAAAACATATTACAGGGTGCGTAGCATTTCTTAAAAAGGGCTTAAAGGTGCTTATTTTCGACTTTCCTTTTTTAAAAGCCTTTAAAGGTGCTTTTTTCAGTGGGTGTTTTTAAAAAGTGCTCAATTTCCCCTTTTTCAAAATAAGATATTTTTTCTTTACCGTGTTTATTTTTGTCATGAATTATTCAAAAAGACCTTGTTCTATTCGACATTTTCACAATTAATTGAATCGCAATCTATTTCGGCGTACCCTTGGTCCGTAGTGTATGAAAACACCATTTGTTTTACATGTTTGATGAAATACTTGCAGATCCGCATATGCGTATACTGAGTTGGATTCTGTTTGAAGGATTTTTGCCCTCTCATGTGCAACTTTGTGGCATTTTGCTAGAGATTCTCAATTCTGGACTTCAATTTCCACCCTCTGGTATCGAACAGCAAAAATCTTTCAATTTTTTGCTAATTACGGGGGCCAACTAAGCATTTTCAAATTTTTTCCCCTAACAGCAATAGAAAATTTTACTTCTCTTTTTGATTTCATCGTTGGTGATGCGCCATCGTCGAGCAAATGTCGTGATATTCTATTTATAGTTCAGTACCATTATCTTGACTTGGGGATCTCATTCACTGATTATGTATTTTCATGTGGATCCCCAGAGCAGTGAAAAATCCCAAAGCTTTATCGCCTCAAAATTTCCATCTTTCTTTTATTCAGTAAATGAAAGAATTAATTAAGAATTTTAAGATTAATATTTTTACCTGTCCACCAATTGCATAATGTTTTTATAATTTTTTATTGAACTTTATTACTTTTTATTAATTATTATATTATTACTTTTAATATTTTAAAAGCAGCAAAAAAATCTTATGTTTAGTTATGTAAAAAAAAAAATTCAGGTTTGTCATTTTAAAAACTTCAATTAATCTCTTAATGATTTTATTTGTAAACAATTGAAATCAAAAAATTCATTTATCTCAGATTTGTTAAATATTATGAATGTAGGGAACCTGTAATAATTTACTTCTGACAAAAATTTTTAGCTTCAATACTCATTGTATTTACATTTCAAAATTATTAAATTTTTTTAATCATTTCATTAAAGAAATATTGAACCAAGTAACAAATAATAATCATAAACATTTTTAGGGGCAATTCTCTAATTTACATTTGTTATATAAGTCAAAATTATAAATTTTACTCAAAAATTGTTATTAGTTTTCTTATTGCTTAATTATTTACATATCCTTATAAATTCAGTATAATCAATAATATTAATCTTTTTAATGTTTTGTTGAATGTGCTTTTATAAATAACTCTTGATTCAATCTAAAAAAATACACTCTATAACCTTTTTAAATAATAGTTGAATTATAATTTTGAATTAATTTTTTTACATAATTAAATAAAGTAATTGTAGAATTCCAAGCGTAACAGAGGGGAAATCATGCAGGTATTTTATCCTAAAAATTTATTAAATATGTGTGAAAACAAAAAATTGTGCAATAATATGCTACTTTAAGGTGCAATGTTTATTTAATTGCGTAAAATAATAATAGAGCCTTAAAAGCATCCGTAACAGAGGGGACAAAGAAAATTCCTCATTTTTGACATGCACTGTTATTTCCGCTATATTCTGTGATTTGGAACACCCTAAACATTATTTGTAACTTTTTTTTAACTATCATATTTCAAGGTAAAATAATTTGTTATTAGACTTTTAAAATTGCTTACACATTTTTATTAACTTCAAAAAATGCAATGTAACAGAGGGGACATTTTGCAAATTTGACAAATAGTTACAGGGAAATATCATGCCATTTAATTAAACATTGCACAATTTTTTTGTTTTCACATATATATAAAACATTTTTTATGATGAAATACCTGTGTGATTTCCCTTCTGTTCTACTACTGGTTTCAGTTGGCATGGAATTCAACAATTATTAATTTAAAAATAAAATGAACCACTTAATGTTGAATATCTTTAAAATTCGAGAAAAGAGTTCTTTGTCAAGCACTAGTTATTTTATCATGATCATGTAAGTCTTTAGAAATTATTTTGCATTTTGTTAATGTTTTTATGAAGAACTTTTAACAATAGGAAGAGGAAATTTTTATTATTAGTGTGCATATCCTAATTACAAGCTTGGATTTTGACATTAAAAAACTGGCTTTTGATTAGACATGTCAAAAATTATCGAAATCTGACAACTTGGGACAAGTTTCTTTGTTAACATTGGGGACATTTTATTAGACATTAAATCATGCACAATACTTGCATTATGTACTACTGTAATTAACATTTATATTATCTGGGTGCATAGCATTTTTAAAAAGTGCTTATTTTTGATTTACATTTTTTGAAAGTGCTTAAAGGTACTTTTTTTATTCTGGGTTTGTAAAAAGTGCTTGACTTTCTATATTTTAAAAATAGATTTTTTCTTTGCTGTGTCGATTGTCATCCTAAATTTTAAAAAAAATGCTTGATTTTCACAATTTTCTCTCCAATATTTATCAGAAGCTAGTTATTTTTATCATGATTATGTAAAGTTTTTGAATTTTATTGATTTTATATTTATAAATTAAGAACTTTAAATGATAGAAAAAAATAACTTTATTACTGATCCTAATTATGATTATTTTTGGTGAGTGATTAAAGATATTTTTTGAATGCTTAAAAAGTACTTAAAAGGTGTTTATTTTTTGTTGAAAAATATGGATATGCACCCTGATATATCATTTATTAAAAATATAGCCAAAATTGTTAAATTATTAATTGGGTTGGTACTCTTAATATATTACAACTAATAACAATGAGTTGTTAATTATCATCAATCTAAATATTGATTTTAATTATTTATTATTCAGGTTTTTTAGACTAAGTAAAACTAAAGTTGTCGCCAATAATTGTCTGATCTCAACTTATTAAAAAATAAATTTCTTGATACTTAATGCTTGTTATTATGACTTACATGTTGCGCAGGTTAGCAGAATATGAACCGAATCCATCCGAACCGAGTTTTTGAGGGAAATTCAGGCAGTCCAAAGAAAACTTATCAGTCTAAAAAAGTTCCTACAAAATTTTTTAGTATTAAAAAATTTGTCACTTTCCAAATTTTTCCTTGTTAAAAAACATTAAATGTCAATTTGTGTATTTATTAGAATTCCTGAAGTTTATGAGTGGAACCTTTAATTTAATTTACTATTTCAATATATTTTGATTTCTTATAATTTTTAACGTATTCTCGTTTATTCAAAAATTTTGTAAAATCATAATAAATTTCTTTTCTTGTATAAATTTTACTTCCCAAAAATATTTTTAAAAAGTTATTGTACTAAAAGAAAGAGAGATATAAACATTTTTGAGAAAATTTTGATTTAAAAAAAAATAATAAACCTTATTCTGAGGAAATATTAGGGACTGAGATTTATATGCACTCGTGCTTATATGTCCACGAATATATCCTGTAAATCATAAATGTAATATATTGCCTTATAAGTAATCTATTTATAATTTACAAAATATATAAATATTTGATTAAATGAGTTAATTTAAATTTTTTAAATCACTCAATTTAAGATTTTAGTTGAGTTACTATGAATATTTAGTACAGTTATTAAAATTAATTTCTTAATTACTTGTTATTTTATTAAGTTATATGTCATAACTTAGGTCAACACTCTGGTCTATACGGTTGAGTATCATTCGAAAGAACAGTTTCAAATTTCGGTCTTATTCATATAAAACTAAAAAATGAACTTGGAGTACAGAAGGCTTCATTACTTTTNTTTTTTTTTTTTTTTTTTTTTTTTGCTTTGGGGTAAAAGAAGAGTAAAAAAGGAAGTAAATGAAAACTGATTTTACGTATAAAGAATAAGATGATTGTTAAATGTTTATTATTAGTTAATTGTACATGCATTTTTATTTTCAATAGTTAAACAAATTAAAGGATTGGATAAATTGCAATTTGACATTTTTATTTCTAACTAGTTGAATACCCGTTCTTCGCACGGGGAGGGTAAAAAAATAAATAAATCAGTATTGGGAAACACTATGAAATCACGCTCAAAACTGAAAATCGTATGCCGACACAATTAAAGAAAGAGGTAAGTGAAATTTTTAAGGAAATTAATAAATCAGAGAAAATAAAGTGGTTTTTTCCAAATAGCAAAGTCAATTTTCATGCAAAATCGAGGTTCAATGTCTCTTGGCTTCAGCTCCTATGGTACCCAACTTCCTTGTTTTTGGATCCTTCCAAACAGTTTTAAACGATGTGAAATTGCTTGCTGAGTCACTTGTAATGTAAGAGCAAGTTCTGTTTGAGTTTGGGATGAATCTTCCAATTCCTTGTCACTTCGTACAATTTCGACCTACCTCGCCAAACTCACCATGTTTAAACTTCTGAAACCACTCACGCCAACTTCTCTCTTAAAGCAGCCTCATCATATGCTTCTTCGAGTTATCAATGTACCTCTACTGGAGATTTCTTCAAATTAAAGAAGGAAATCAAAAGCTCCCGCTAATGACGCTTATTTGGCACAAAACTACATTTTTGCACAAAAACAATTACGTAATGCTAATACAAAATCACGAAAACTTTAAGGTTATGTTGTTACGAGATGAACAAACTTACAATAAGACGTTTAACAACAGTCAATTTCTACATAACCTTCTGGTAATGCCATATTGTGACGAATGGCGGCAACTTATTTGTGCACCCAATATATCTGCAATAAATATCAGAAAAGCTCTTGTTGTTAAAAAATGAACTTTATTGCAAAAAAAAAAAGTGCTGAAAGTTACAAAACTTTTATAATCTTTCAAACCATGTAAAATCTTTAACTTTAAATTTTGCTAATCAAACAAATATGCTAATATTAAAAAAAAAAAACTAAATTTTTTTTAAAAAAAAGAACTTATCCAATTAAAATGTCATATCTAGAAACAGTAAAAATAAAATATAAATGTAGCGATCAATTTAGCTTTTAATGTATTTGCAAAGTGTAGCTTTGAAAATTTTGTTAATAAAGTGATCCTTTCTGGTTTATAAAATTATCCGCGTTATAAAATCATATGTTCTCAAAATAGATTTGATTTTTATAAATGACAGACTCATTTTTACTTTGTAATAATCGATCAATGGTTCCCAATCTATTTTGTACCATTTCCCCCTTTTTCAATATTTCTAGAAGCACATTCCAGTCTTCAAACAAATTTTAAAGTTAAACAATAAAATCGAGGAAAATTTTAATAAATCAATGTTTTCATAGTTTTTTTTTATGTAAACAAACCAATAATTAAGTAAAATAAATTATTAATACTTCAAGTAATAAAAAAAGACTGTGCTATTAGTTGTTTTTTATTAAAATTTTGTCGACGTTCTGACTCCCTCTCAAATGTCATTGATCCCTGGCCTGATGGTGAGAGAAGGGGAGTATCATTTGGGGAAGGAACTAGTTATAAAAGAGATAGGCTCTTTCTCTCGGGATAGTGCTAGATGATTTTAGAGGGAAGTGATGTGCAGGAGAGAAATTTAGCTCCCAGCATTTAAAACCCTACTTTTTCAATTTTATATTTTTCCTTACGTTAATGTGTTCATCGATAAAGAAAAATGTACTTTAAAACCAAGTCAATCGTAAGGACTGCCCATTATAAAGAGCCATGCAAACACTCAGAACTGGGATGCCTGTCATTTTCATTCATTCTTGGATATGGAGAATAGCACTTGCAAAGGCAAAACAAAAACTGCTTTCTGATTTGAAGGTTTAAGACTCGCACCATTAAGACAAAAATTCTGCGACTTATTTCTCTTCCATGATGAGTTTCAGAAGGAAATTGCAGTGCAAAAAATGCATCTGATAAAATGCCCTGAGCTTTTTAAACAGACAAACTAAATAGATTTTAAACTAAGTTTCTCATCAGAGCTTGCTAATTTATACCCTAAATTAATTTTCTTAAAAAACAGTCAGTCATAATATTCTTGATTTATAATGCAAACTTCATTTCCCTCTTCAAACTATAAAATTCCTTACTAGTTGGGAACCTTTGCTGTAGGTAAGGGTTCCGTATACAGGAAATTATGTGTAGTTTTTGTGGTGTGTTTAGGTTATTCAATGTGTTCTATTTTCTTTTATAGCAAACCAGGTTAGACAAAAGCAAAATACAAGACGCCAGCCTCCCCCACCACCCCCAATGGCAAGCACCAATGTTACTGGAAGTCAGCCCGTTCTTCACATCCAATTGGAATCTGGAATATTTTCGAACAATTTTGCTCACAGCTAAAATCAATTAATTTGAAGGACTGGTTGTCCTGCAATCACACTTACTGAAATAACTTATCACAATCTGTGTGATACATTATTTACCTGTACATACATAAAACAAGACTAATTACTTTTTATTTTGAGTAACTCTATGTATGGAATGCACAAGATGAATTTGTCTATGTGTTCCTTCTTTTTTGTCATTTTTTTTCTTGGAGCACTTGTTACTCTGTTTATCCATAACTCTTTATGATTTTAATTGGTAATTTTATGCAAGATTTTACAAAAGAATTTATATAAATCGTAACTCAAATTTAAAAATAAATTTTTTGTTTTGCATCATTCTCAGAATGCATTTTCTCATTTTATCCAATTGTGGTGCTCTCACGGGCTAGAGAGAACGTAGAACTTAAAATAATTTATTTTTTTTTTCAAAGCCTGTAAAATGACCCATTTTGAAATCAACTGTTGTAACAAAAAGTTAAACTATTTATTTTGCAGCCACTCATTTCCTGTAAAAATTTCTCTGCAATATGCTTAAAATTGTATACTATCAATTAATACTGAAATGATAATAGAACTGTTCCCAACTTCAAATTGTTTTCTAGATTGGGAAATTAAGTTTGTTATGTTTAACAAAATGTTTCTAATTGAAAGGAAATTTTGAGCATTTGTGCTGGCAACTAAATAAATGTAGCACCAAAAAATAATTTTTATGTTTCAAGCACTGTATAATTTGTATTTCACTGTGTGAAAGATTTTGTAAAAAAATTTAATGTTTTGATACATTTCTAAATCTAACATTTGCAGCAATGCTATTTTAACTAAAAAATTTATGAAGTATGTTAAACTCAATCATTCCTTTAATTGATTTTGCAAATGGCTTGAAGTATTTTTATAAAAAAATTTCAACAAAATGCCATTTGCCTACTCATTAAATAGCAAACAGTCATAAAGATCACAAAACTGATAGTTTTCTTCACAAATTTATTCTTTATGATAATCCATAGCTACCAACTCTACTGGATTTTCGCGTAGACTGCTGAATTTTTTCAGTTTCTCCTTGTTTAATAAAAAATTCTCCTGGTTTTTGTACATTTTAGAAAATTCCTTCAAATTCTAAGTTTCCTGAAAAAAATCCCTATTAAATAGAATGTTTGCACAGATTTTTTGCTTGCTTAAATATTTAAATAAATATTACTAATATATAATGAAGCGAGCCTCATTTATAGAAATCAGTTTAACCACTTTTTCTGTTCAGTTTATTCAGAACTCCCTTTCTAAAATAATTAAAAAATCAATTATTTCTTACGAATGAAATACCTATTACTATTCAAAATTATGAGTAAACATAATTCACAACATTTCAAGCATATTTACTGCCAATCATGACCGGCTGTTTTTCTATTTTGATGTCTATGAAACTCCCTATGTGTAAAATATTTAGTACATTACGCAACAATTATCATGAAATTAATATTATTTTATAAACTACTGTGATGATCGGTTCTAAAATTTAGTGAAATGTTTGTGGATCATTAATATTAGGAGATTTCTAAATTGAACATTTTGAGAAATGCTCTATAGTAAGTAAAATAGAATTTTACTTTTTGGTCTTGGGTGTGTAAAAATCAGCAATGGTTCTTTTGACTAAGTGCTAGATGACTTCCTTTAGGATAAGGATTTGGCAAAAACTGTATTTTAAATGTTGTTTTTTTTCCTTGGAAATTTTGTGCATTCCTTATATGGGTGAAATGTAGCATATTTGTTTCGTGTTGAAAAGGCGTTTAACCTGCGGTAATTGTTATGTCAAATGGTAAATATATTTGCACTTGTAAAAAGTTGTTAGACATATATATCAGAGGAATTAATTTTTTGAATAAATTATATTTCTAACCTATTATTGAAGGAAAAAAAATTGTTATCTGCCAATCAATGATTGAGAGAAGTTCTCTGCTTTGTATTTTTAATAACCTGCTTTGAATTGTAGTCATAATTAAAATAATTTCTTATTATGTGTGTTTTCTGTCTTTGAATTCAATGGAAATACTAACTGTTGTGACTTATCCATAATTAATATGATTTCATGGACAACATTGCAGTCTTATGGTTGAGCAATAAAAATTACAATTTTTGAGATTATCCGTAATAGCCTGCCTAACATAAGTTTCTTTGAGCTATGAAATTTGTTGTTTGCATTTTAACTAAGATAAATTTTTTCAACTCCTTAAATAAATCTAAAACAATAAGTGAAAAAAGGCAAAGAAATCTCATCTTTCCTTTATAGAAAAGAGAAAAAAAACTATCCTCAAGTCTGAATTGTTCTGTGCAAGAATCTTTAGTGGTTCAAATGCCAAATTATAAAAAGACTCCAATTAATTAATAACTACCACATGGATTCCAAGTAATTAGTTTAATTTTATAATGAGGTATTAAGTGTTGTATAATTTTTAGTTCGGTACCTTTTCTATTATATAAAAAAAAATTAATACTTTATAAAATTATGTTGGAATTTATCTATTATGTACTTATTAGAATTTAATATATATGTTACCGTAAATGACCAAAATCAAGGGAATGTCGACTTTCGCTGGTGAATGTCAACAATCACATAGTCGCTTGGGTGAATGTCCGAAATATTTGTTAGATCCGATTTGATATTATTCTATTTATTCGATATTTTAATATCTGCTGAGGATAGATTAGGAGAAATATCAGTGTTCGGAGTACCGGTTAAATGCATACTGGACAGTAGCACTTGACCTTTAAAAAAGAAACAATGTAGTGTGTACTGATGCAGTGGCACCTAACTAGACCTAGTATATATTTCGGACATTTACCAAAGCGACTGTGATTGTCAACAACGATCATTCACAGTAACATATACACCTTGAAATTGTTGAATTTCAAAAATGCTGTCTTATTGTACTTTTAATTACTAATAGCTAATTTTGGCACCTCTGATTCGATTTAATAGAATTAATGTATCTAACCACTGTTGATGCTTTTGGTGTTCCCGTTCTCAAATTATTAGCAAACATATATATTAGGAAGAGGTACTAGACTTACAAGGGAAACTAGGGAAGTGTGACTCGCCAATTTTAAAATAAACTAGTGGGGTGTATGCCTTATAAGGAATAATTTTAGGGGAAAACATTCGTTTCGGCCCATAGAAGGTCCTGTGAGAGATAAAAAATAATTCAATATATAGAAAAATCGGTATTTTATTACTTCAATGCAGGCTATTAGTTATTGTAATTGTCTCATACTCCAATTAAATTTGTGGTACTTTCACGTATTATATAATGCATATTTACTGTCAAAATTGATTTCGAAAATTTTATATATCTGTAGTTTATCAGAAAAACCTGTTAGGTTAATTTTAAAAAATAATTTGACATCAAATTTTTTAAATTTTTTTTTTTTAAATTTTCCAAATTAATTGGAGTATGTGATTGCAAATCAATTAATTAATTAGCAATTTATTAATAATTAATTAATTTTCTGAATAATTTATTAATTTTCAAATTAATCGGATTATGAGACAATTACAATAACTAATACATAGTATGCATTGAAGTAATAAAAAACGGATTTTTCTATATATTGAATTATTTTTATCTCTCACAGGACCTTTTATGGGCCGAAACGAATGTTAATTAAATTATTAATTAGCAAATTAATTAATTATCCAATTAATTACAAATTAATTGGAGTATGAGACAATTACAATAACTAATAGTATGCATTGAAGTAATAAAATACCGATTTTTCTATATATTGAATTATTTTTTATCTCTCACAGGACCTTCTATGGGCCGAAACGAATGTTGCCCCCTAAAATTATTCCTCATAAGGCATACATTCCACTAGTTTATTTCAAAATTGGCGAGTCACACTTCCCTAGTTAGTTAAGTTTGTGAAATAGACCTTTTTAAATGTTATACTTTTATTGCATGCTTTTATATGATTAAATTGTGATATGATAAAAGAGATATTTTTAAACAATTTTTTTTTCTAAGAGCTATATTGTGATTTAATATTTTTAATTTTTCATAAAATTGACACCCAGATAGAGAATTATTTGATTCGTAATATGTAAAATATATAAAATTTTAAAAAATTTCTGAAATTTCAAATTAATCCATGTTCAAAAATTATCTAGTACTTTAAAAAGTGTTTACTATCATTTAATTTGAGTTCAACAGCCTGAATCGAATGGATCGTTAAATTATATAATTTTTAAAGAGAACAACATATAACACTTTGCATGTAAGATATACATATCAATCTTCTTTTTTTTAAAAATTCTTTTTCACAATGTTAATTCTTTTGTAAATAGTGTTATAAAAAATATTTTAAACTGGGAATCTAATCGAGATAGATCTAGCCAAATAATTGTTTAAATAAAAAAAATTTGTATGAGCCTTTGTTGTTGTGGGGGTGGGAGTTAAGAGGGAGGGATCCCTGATCAAAACTTTTATAGGTAAAAAAAAATATTAAATGCATAATAATATTTTTTCTTTCTCCGTCACATGGTTTCTATTCATTGATCAGTAGCAGCAGAATACTTGAAAGTCTAATTAAATTATTTCCATGTGGGTTCAGAACAATTCACGAATTTAACAAAGATTGAATTGTGATTTTTTAAATCAGTGAATGAAGGGACTTTCCACTGAATGGACAAAGTATTTAAGACCTTTTTGTAGTCTTAATTTGCTTGATTTGTTATAAAACTTTTCAGTACTCTTAATTCACATAAAGGTGTAAGAATAATTTATAAAAGCAAAATTTTTAAAAGATAAAGTTAATTGACTGGCCTTTTACTTCTTCAATAAATACTAGTGTTGTATTAAATTCAGATTTGTCATTTCAAATAGTTTTTATTCATCTCTTTTTCCTTTGATTCATGAACAAATGAAGTTAACAATTCATAGTCACACAATTGTTAATGAATTTAGGGACCCTATAAAAATTTTACTTCTCAAAAAAGTATTTAACTACAATATTCACTGTATTTTATTAATTTTCTGATCATCAACGCATTGAACTCTATTGCTATGTTTAACAAAATATTGAATCTTGTTTCCAAATTGAAAAAACATTTTACATACTAATTTAATTTTTCCATTTTTGTGTTTTTATAAAATTATAATGATTATAATTTTATAAAAACAAAGTAATGATCCAATGAAATATTCACTAATTTACACTTCTTGTCATTCTATTCAGGTTTAGTTATCAATTCAGTGTGTGATCAATTATCATAAAAATGTTTTTGCTAAGTACACATATTATTTAAAAACACCTAATAACTTTTTTTTAACTAAATTATGACAACAATTTTAAATGAAAATTTTTTTACTTAATCGAGTAAAATTAAGAATAAAATGTGTGAAATTGATATTGAGTTATATAATTAAAATTATTAGTAAAATGGTTTTATAGCCACAAATAGAATCACAGTTCTTTTTACGAAAAAGGAATTTTTTAAATCATAAATCTGTTAAGTTTTCAAAAAGGTTTTTGTAATTTGTTAAATCTGTTGTTGTTCTTGTATGCCATTTCAGTGGTGCTATATATGGCCAAGAATTAGACTTCTGTCACACAGTTTATAGGGGGGGGGGACACATTCATCCACAGATCGTCATTTTGACCTGAACTAGAGAACGATCCATTTCCAACTTAGTACTCCTAAGTGTACTGATTTGTTATAGGAGAATGGAGGACTTAGTCACTCGACAGATTTAACATGCACCAGTCACTACACGGAAGTCTTCATCCGGCTGGCCAACCAGGGTATCCCAGACTGTTAATTTATCAAAAACTTTCAATGCAGGAAAACACTTATTACTGCACATAGCTTAATGTTTGTTTTTTTGTGTGTGTGAAAAGGATTAAGTATGTTATAAGCGTCAACTATACTTAATCTTTAGTGTTTGTATTTAGAAAATTATTTCTTGCTATTAAATTAAAATACGGCCGGGATAGCCTGGTCGGTAAGGCGCTGGGCCCATGTCCGAGAGTTCGTGGGTTCGAACCNCCTCGCCGGCCGAAGGCTCCCCGTGTAGTAAAGTGACTGATGCACGTTAAATCTGTCGAGCCGCAAAAGTCCTCCGTGTTCCCATAAGAAATCAAAACCTCTGGGGGTACTGGATCGATCGTTCTCTGATACAGGTCAAAATTACGATCTGTGGATGAATGAATGACGGGTGCGACGTATGGTGTGGCAGAAGTCGAATTATTGGCCATAGATGGCGCCATTGAAATACAAGAACAATCGCACCCCTTCTGCCTAAACAGGTATACGTCAACAACAAATTAAAATACACTGTGTTTGTAGGCATAATGACTTCCAAAATTCTTCATCATAGTCGCATAATTTTATAAATTAAAATTTAATTTAGAAATTAAATAATTTTAAATTAAATTTTTTGTCATTATCACTTTTTTAAAGTTTCAGAATAATGGTGCTAAGTAAGTTTTGTTACAGTATCTCAAAATAACTTAAAAATTATATCAAAGCAATCATTAAAAACCTGTTGCATCCGGGACTTTTTTGTGAACGCTTTTTCAGAATTTTAAATTTGTTATAAATTCTAAAATATTTGAACGAAATTTTATACAGCATCTTGTGTTGCATCTATTAACTAACAAAATTCTAAACAATTGCTTAATATTTTTTTTAAAAAATGTTTTGAACCCCCCCTTAAGGGTGATATATTCTTCATTGTTAGATAATCAAAATCTTAACTCAAAAAATTACATTAATGCTGTAGTTTGCAAAACTGCTTGAGTATTACCTTTAACATATTACGTGATATCAAGTTTTCTCTTATGAAATTTTCAAGATTTATCACTTTGTGGCAGAATTACCACTCATAAACCGAACGTTAAAAAAATTGCCGTTGTTTGTAATAGACTTTTGATTGTTGGTTTTGTTAATAAATGTTTCTTTTCTCTTTTCATAGTTCAGAAATTTCAGCATATCGCGAAAAATTTGTGTTATTTTAGT